GATAGATAGATAGATAGATAGATAGATAGATAGATAGATAGATAGATAGATAGATAGATAGCAATGGTTTATGGAGAAAATGCTGATTAAATTAGGAACCAAAATGATTGCAGACAGATGCCACAACGTACCTTATAATAGCATATACTGAACCTCTATAGTGATTGTTAGGAATCTGTCCACCAATTACTTGGGTTGGCAATATATAAACCAACAATGTATGTTTATAGCTTTAAGACAAAATCACTGTATTGATTTATACTATATTCCGATTGGTTGATTATATTGCAAATTACCATAAGAGGGAGCTAGAGATCATAGCTTGCTCTCTCTGATATTCTGTCTCTCTTACATTCTGTTGCTATCTAAGGTTCTCTGTTGTATTTATGCTGTGCTTATACTTTGATATTTTTGTTTTACTGTAAATGACAAAGGCAACCCGTAAGAAGACTTTGTAATTGGATATTCTTTGGACTGTTAAACATACATGACCTGGACTGTTTTTTGGACTGTGCTATTTCTTAAAGTAAACTTTAACTCAATTTAGTGTATCTGTGTGTGGCTGGATAATTATTCATGAACTACTATCATAAACATTTCCATGTGCATATCCTTGTTACTCAAGGGTTATTCTGTATATATCATAACAGTGATTCTCACCAAAAGAATTAGAAAGCCTCAAGATTATAAGTTATAGGTCTGGAAATGATATATATGACTTACAAAAGCAGTGTAAATTTTAACTAAATTTTTATTATATGAATGTAGGATCTGATAACAACATGAGATGGTCTTACTATGGGTGCTCTAGAACCTCTACTGTCTGATTTTTTTTAAAGAGACTCCAAGCCCATCCTTTCTCCTAAATGTACTACCTTCTAACATTAAAAATGTCCCCTTCCTTCCTTCCTTCCTTCCTTCCTTCCTTCCTTCCTTCCTTCCTTCCTTCCTTCCTTCCTTCCTTCCTTCCTTCCTTCCTTCCTTCCTTCCTTCCTTCCTTCCATTTCCTTTGCCTTTAGGATCACCAGGCAGCTTCAGTTTGTCTGTTCTGCCTAAAATGTGCTTTGGTTTCATGAAAGAATGTAGAATATTAGGTGTTTTTCTCCCACAACCCATATAAAACAACATAGAGAAAAAAAGAATGGAACAATTACATCATAGTTATTGAAAAATAAACTAGAAGATGAAGGAATTTTTTTTTTTTTTTTTTTGGAAAAATACTTTATTAGTTTTACCTTTAAAAGAAAAACACAACTACAAGTTATGTACAACAAAAAGACAAACAGGCCTTAGCATAGGCCAAGAGGGAGAGAGAGGAAAGCCTAAGAGAGGGGAAAGGGAAGAGTAAGGGAGGGGAAGGGTAGAGTAGGGAAAACAGTTAAAATAAAACCATATTTTGTGACTGTCTGTAAGATCCTTTCTTCTTCAAAAGTATCATCGGCGGTGCTTTTCTTTATCTTTGCTTCGGAGGCCCTCGGCCATAATTTTCCTAGAGGTGATCTATCTTTGGTTTAGCCAATTATACAAAGGATTCCAATTGTTGTAATAGGATGAGGATTCTTTATTTTTCAGTGCTTGGGTTAGTTTGTCCATTTCGGCGCATTGTAAAATTTTCTGAATAACCGTATGTTCAGTGGGAATGGAAGGTAATTTCCAGCACTGGGCGAATGCCAGTCTGGCTGCGGTTAAGATATGAATTACAATATACTTCGATTTTTTGGGTATTTGTTTATCGAAAATTCCTAGAAGGAAGGACTGGTTTGTACTCTATTTGTTCCTTGGTTATTTCCTCTAGCCAGCGCCTAATTTTTTGCCAGTACTTCTGGGTTTCCTTGCACGACCACCACAAATGGAAGAAGGTACCTTCTATGCTTTGGCATTTCCAACAATTGGGGCTCGTGTTGGGGTGCATCTTCGCCAATCTCGAAGGGGGCAGGTGCCATCTATAAAACATTTTATATGTGTTTTCTTTATAAGCTGCTGATTTCGTGATCTTAATGTTCCTGTTCCAGATCCTTTCCCATTCTGCTAGAGTAATGCTCCGTCCCACGTTTCTGCTCCATGCAATCATATTTCCTTTGACAATTTCTTGTTCTAGTTCAGTTTGTAATAAATGTTTGTAAAATTTAGATATATTTTTTTTTGCTCGGTCCTAATAGAATTTTGTCTAAAGTCTGTAATTTATTGTAGATTCCAAATTCCTTAATATCTTGTTTATATCTACTATGAATTTGAAGGTACACCCACTGATCAATTTTAAATCCTCGCTCTTGTAATTCTTGTCGGGTTTTCAGTTTTCCTTGTAGGTCTAATAAATTTTCGTACTTAATCATTTTAGTTATATCCAAATTATTAGGGTGTACTATCGCTTCCATTGGAGATAGCCAAATCGGTATTTTTAGATAAAGTTTTTTACGTACTTTTTTCCAATTGGTTAATAGAGAGTCCCTGATAAGATGCCTATGGAAATATGATTGCCTGGGTTTCCCAGTTTCCCACAGAAAGGCATGCCATCCTTTCTGCATATCGTGGCCTTCTAATATTAGTGTTCTTTTGTTGGTTAAATTCACCCATTCCTTTATCCATAGTAGGGTGGCTGCCTTATAATATACTTCCCAGTTTGGCAGGCCTAATCCTCCTCTGCTTTTCAAATCTTGTAGGGCTTTTACATTAATCCTAGCTTTTTTCCCCTGCCAAATAAATTTCAGTGTTATCTTGTTTAATTGCATAATTTTTTTTTAATTTAATTTGATTGGAATTGTCTGGAATAGATATAGAAATTTTGGCAGAATATTCATCTTAATCAGAGCAATCCTGCCCAATAAGGAAAGTTGTAATGTACTCCAGGAATCTAAATCTTTCTTGGATTGTTGGAGAAGTTTGTCATAGTTGTTTTCTTTTAATGATTTGCTTTGTGGAGTAAGCCAAATTCCTAAGTATTTAATTTTTTTTGTCACCTGTATTCCCATTATTGTCTCTAGTTCTTTATTCTGGTCTCCTGTTAAATTTTTAGACATTAATTTCGTTTTTCCCCTATTAATTTTAAATCCTGCGACTTCTCCAAATCGTTCTAGTTCTTCTAATAAGTTATGTCCTTTTTCTATAGGCTCCTCCAGAAAAAAAACCAAATCATCAGCGAAGGCTTGTACTTTGTACTCTTCTGATTTAATCCTCAGTCCTCTAATTCTCGAATTTTGCCTAATATACGTCAAAAGAGATTCTAGGGCGAATATGAAAAGCAGAGGAGAGAGAGGGCAACCCTGTCTAACCCCTTTTTCTATTTTTATCGGGTCAGTTTGTTCCCCATTTATTAGAATATTTGCCTGTTGCGTGTGGTAAATTGTAGTGATGACATTTTCGAATCTAGTGCCGAGGTTCATATTGTATATTTTTTGAATTAAAAAATGCCAATTTAAATTGTCGAATGCTTTTTCAGCGTCCAAAAACATAAATGCAAATTGTTTTTCCGGATGGGCTTCATAGTATTCTGAAATATCTATCACTGTTCTTAGATTATTCTTAATTTGTCGAAATGGGAGAAATCCATTTTGATCTTCATGGATATGTGTGTTTAGAACCTGTTTTAGTCTATTAGCTATTATAGAAGAGAATAGTTTGTAATCTGCATTCAGGAGCGAGATTGGTCTATAATTATTAATAAGTCTATGGTCTAGGTCCTCCTTCGGGATCAGCGAAATTAAGGCTCCCCTCCACGAGTCCGGCATCTTGGCTGCTAGGAGTACCTCATTGAATACTTCCAGCATCAGTGGTCCAATTTGTTCTATGATTGTTTTGTAAAGTTCTACAGGTATCCCGTCCGGTCCTGGCGCTTTATTGTTACTTTGCTTCTCTATTGCTGACTTCAGTTCGGACCATGTTATATTTTTGTTTAATAATTCTATCTCTTCCTCTCCAATTGCTTTTTCGTTCGCTTCCTCTAGGTATTTCATTATTTTTGTCCTCACAAACTTCCTTTTTGTATAATTTCCTGAAGTATTTAAAAGTGATCTCTTTTTTCTTCTCTATCTCCTCTTGCAAATTGCCCCTCTCGTCCATTAATTGGTGTATCAATCTTTTTTCTTTCATTTTCTTAAGTTTGTGGGC